CTGTTCTGCTGCAGCAATAACTACTTCACTCTTTTGGATTGCTCCATAAAATAATTATCACATAGCAGAGCCATATTTCTGGAAGCCCTGCCACAAGCAATTAGTCACCACACTATTCGTTTCCACGAACCTTGTTCTAACAGTGATTAGGGACACAGCAGCCTCCTCTCTTGCCTGTGATAAAGCTTGGAAATAGCGCAGCTAGTACCTTAATGGGACCTATTTCCATTTTGATCCAGTTTTCCGAGATCTACTGTCAGGATGCTTTTTTCTCCCCGTTCTTTCCACACTGTGATAACACTATTTACATTTCCAGATCTAAGTACCCAGAGTTACATCACAGATTTTATTTTCTTTGCATCAGGAACTAACAATGAGCTTCAGAAAGCACTATATATATTTGGAGTCTATCTGCCTTAAGAATAGCATGTTTCTTAAGTTGACTCATTTTTTATACTAAATGACTTAACACTAGCCTGCACAAGAGGCCACGTCATTCAACATTTTTAAGTAAATTCATTTCACTATTAGTCACAGAGGCTAGTCCCTCTGGGGTTTCTGAAGGCTTCTTCTCCCATCAAGAGAAGGCGGCACTATACTTTAAACTTCAAGTGAGTGACTGATGTGAGAAATTGATGCTACAAAATGAAGATTTTAACTTTTAGGTAGCTAATTCAAATTAGTGGATGGAATAAAATAAGTAAGTGAAGCTTTTCAGTTAAATTGTGATAAATAAATGTGAAGCATCAGTTTTGTCCTGTTGGACAATGTAAGGGGCAGACATAAAAGTGGCTGTTGGTAACATTCACCAAACACCACAAAAATACCAAGCCCCCTCTAAAAACAAGCCCCCTACAAAGTCTTAATGCTCAAACATTTAAGAACACACGAGGAAATTTTCTGCCATTGGTCTTATCCATGAAAAAGAAGAAATTTCATCTTAAGCATCTTTATCCAAAGTAAACTTACACACAAACTTGAAATTAGCCAGAGGCACCTCAAAACACTACTGTGCACTATTTGTTGGACTTTCCTTATGTAATATTCCAACATAATTATAATGTACTTTCTCACTTTTTAAGCTAGAGACTCGGAAACAGCAGTATCACTTCTACTCTCCCCTC